TTTGCGCATAAGTTAAATTCGAAAATTTCGCAACCCAGCTTGTGTAGATATTATCCCTCCCTATATATGACCCTGGACCACAAAACCAGTCATAAGGGTAATTTTTTTTTCGAAATTGAGATTTACATATCAGCTGAAAGCTGAATAAATAAGCTTTCCATTGATGTATGATTTGTTAGGATATGACAATATTTGAGATACAACTATTTAAAAATCTTGAATCTGAGGGTGCAAAAAAAATCAAAATATTGAGAAAATCGCCTTTAATGTTGTCCAAATGAAGCTCTTAGCAATGTATATTATTAATCAAAAATTAAGTATTAATATGTTTAAAGTAGGAAATTTACAAAATATCTTCATGGAACATGATCTTTACTTAATGTCCTAATGATTTTTGGCATAAAATAAAAATCTATAATTTTGGCCCATACAATGTATTTTTGGCTATTGCTACAAATATACCCCAGCGACTTAAGACTTTTTGTGGTCCAGGGTCACATATTATATCTATTTATAGCAATTACAGTCTAATTATAATTATTATAATCTGATTATAATAACATAAAGAATGAAATAAAAATCTTAGTTGACAGATGACACTGTAACTCCACATATTTTTTTAATCACATGGTATTTTTATGAAAAGCCCATACTGGTTATATGTTTCAGACTTTATCAGACCTTCAGAGATTCGAAGTACCTGTACATGCTGCTGGAGGCGTGTTTGGGTGGAGAGCTGTGGACTCTGCTCAGAGACCGGTATCAGGATCCCGCTCAGTATTTTCTCACATTCTTCTAAAGGGATTGAGTGACTTACAGGAAGTTGTGTGGCTGTTTTCAGAGGCTCGTTTGATGACAGCACCACACGCTTCTACGCTGGATGTGTGGTGGAAGCTCTCGCTTTTCTACACTGCCGTGGAATCATCTACAGAGACCTAAAGCCTGAGAACATCATACTGGACCACCGTGGATATGCCAAGCTGGTAAGCAAAGCAGTGTCATATTACTATTATTTATATACTAGTTTTCATTTTAATTTTAGTTTAAGATTTAGTGATTTTATGTAATTTTGTCAGTTTTTTGTAGTATTTTTATTTAGCTTTAAATTAAAGGAACACGCCACTATTTTTGAAAATAGGCTCATTTTCCAAACCCCCTAGAGTTAAACAGTTGAGTTTTACCGTTTTCGAATCCATTCGGCTGATCTCCGGGTCTGGCGGTAGCACTTTTAGCTTAGCTTAGCATAGATCATTGAATCTGATTAGACCGTTATCATTTCTTGCTCAAAAATGACCAAAGAGTTTCTATATTTTTCCTATTTAAAACTTGACTCTTCTGTAGTTACATCGTGTACTAAGACCGATGGAAAATGAAAAGTTGCGATTTTCTAGGCCGATTTGGCTAGGAACTATACTAGGCGCAATGATATTACGCAGCGCCTGAAAATAGTCCCCAGCTAGGTAACTTCCAATAAGCCTATTTTCAGGCGCTGCGTAATATCATTGCGCCTGCTGCACCCATAGTACAGCAGCAAAGTTCCTTGATTATTACGCCGGAATGAGAGTATAGTTCCTAGCCATATCGGCCTAGAAAATCTAAACTTTTCATTTTCCGTCGGTCTTAGTACACGATGTAACTACAGAAGAGTCAAGTTTTAAATAGGAAAAATATTTAAACTCTTTGGTCATTTTTGAGCGAGATGCTAACGGTCTAATCAGATTCAATTATCTATGCTAAGCTACAGCTAAAAGTGCTACCGCCAGACCCGGAGATCGGCTGAATGGATTCGAAAACGGTAAAACTCAACTGTTTAACTAGGGGAGTTGGAAAATGAGCCTATTTTCAAAAATAGTGGAGTGTTCCTTTAAAGCTAAATTACTTTTTTTTTTTTTTTTTCAGTTCTAGTAATTTTAGTACTTCAGCTAAAATTAAGCAGCAGGTTTAAATTAGATTTTTTTTGTACTTAAAAATTGCTCCAAGTACTTCATTTTAGTTTAATAAGTGTTCATCTGATATTTATATTTTATTTAGTTTCAGCTTTATTTTAATTAACAGAAACATTTGAATATTTTTGAAGTATTTCTATTTAGCTTTGAATTCATTTTTCACGTTTGTATTTGTTTCTTCTAGTAATTTTAGTGCTTGAATATTCACATTTTTTAAGTTTCAGTGTTCATCTAATATTTATATTTTATTTCAGCTTTAAGTAACAAAAACTAATTTTAAAACTATTAGTTTTAGTTTTTAGTTATGCAGCTTTATTTAAAAAAAAAAAATGTTATTGTACATTTTTTTTAAATGAATTTTTAATGTTTTTTATTTTTTTTAGTATTTCTATTTAGCTTTAAATGTTCTTTTTAAACATTTTTTATTTCAGTTCTAGTAATTTTAGTACTTACACAAAATACGTAGTACTTAATTTTAGTTGAAGCGTTTATCTGATATTAATATTTGATTTCAGCTTTAATTAATGAAACATTTTTTAAAAGTTTGTTTTAGTGTTAGTTTTAGTTAACAATCACAACACTAAACCAATGTACTTCTATTGTAGAATTAATGCGCATTAAATTACTGTACATGCTACATTTCATGTCCATATACAAAAAAGTTTTAAATAAAATATTAAATAAAATGTTTACTTTTAAGAAATGTATTTGTAGCCATACATTATATTAGTCTACAAACATTTTAAGCATATGTTTTAGATTTCTAAGAAAATGAGAAACAAAGTCAAGCGTGTCTAAACTTTTGTATATTGACCAACAAAATATTCAAAAGGCAAAGAACAGTCGTTGTTTTCAAGGTGGACTTTGGTTTTGCTAAAAAAGTTGGCTTGGGGAAGAAGACATGGACGTTTTGTGGAACTCCAGAGTACGTGGCCCCCGAGATCATCCTAAATAAAGGACACGACGTCTCGGCCGACTACTGGTCTCTGGGAATCCTCATCTTTGAGCTGCTGAGCGGAAGGTTGGCGATTTATTAATGCCATTATTAACAAGATTAAGTTTTTCCTGTTTCCAGAATCCCAGGAAGTGAAGTTCACACTCTGCCTCTTCTAATTATTAACATTCAACACCATTGTCCTCTGTGCCTCCAAGCCCACCTTTCTCAGGGTCAGATCCCATGAAGACGTACAACATTATTCTTCGAGGAATCGATATGGTGGAGTTTCCCAAGAAAATCACTAAGAGTGCTGCGAACTTGATCAAGAGACTGTGCAGGTACAAAGATAGAGTCAGCGTGTTTATTCAGAAAAGGCTGTTTTAAAAACTGTTCTTTTGTTATGGAAACCTGAGCTGCTGAAATAACATTGGTCTGTATATTATTTTATTTTTTGGGGGCATTACAGAAATACAGTGACTTAGAAATTCTTACTGTATAACTTAGTTGAGGCTCACCTCTGCATTCGCACTATTTTCTGCAAGATGCGAGTTGAAATATTACGTTTATGTTGTGTCTGATTAATGCAATACGGTAACAAACAGTGTTTTATTAAAAAAAATCAGAGAAAAAAAAACTTAAATGCAGTGTCTTAAAAGAAAAAAATAAAGAGAGAAAAGTGTTTATTTGAAAAAAAAAATTTGGAGAGAGAAAAAAAGGTTTTTTTGGAAGATACATTTTTTTGGGGAAAGAACAAATTTAAAGAGAAAAATGTTTTTCAGGAGAGTTTTGGAGAGAGAAAAAATTTCAAAGTGAAAAAAAGGTTTTTTGAGAGAGACTAAAATGCTGAAAAAATAAAGAGGGAAAAAGGTTTATTTTAAAAAATAGAGAGAATTTTTAAAAGTTTTTTATTAGAAAAAAAGTTTTTGTGAGAGGAAAACATTTTTTTGGGAAAGAAAAAAAAATCTGAGAAGTTTCAGGAGAGAGAACAAGTTTGGAGAGAGAAAAAATGTTTTAGGGAGAGTTTTTCTCTCAAAAAGTTTTTTTTTTTGAGAAAAAAATATCAGAGAGAAACAAATTTGGAGTGAAAAAAAAATCT